AAAGAAAAAGAGGAGGAAAGATGGCTCATGCACAACAGCACCTTGCACCCCCTTTTCTCTCTTTGGATATCATAGCGGGACATCATTTGAAGCAGCAAAATATTGGATGGTCCGCTGAAGGTGGAGATATGGCATCATGGAAGCCTTTTTGAATGTCCCTTTCCTGTTTGATATCATTTGAAGCAGGTACACCGGTGGTTAAACCCTTGTGCTGCCAGGACTGAAGACCGATAAGTTGGAGGTTCAAATCCGGGGAGAGCGCAGATGAGCTCCCTCTGTCAGCTTTAGTTCCCCATGCAGGGACATGAGGAAATGCCTCCCACAAGGATGGTAAAACATCAAAAACATCTGTGCATCTCCAGGGCAACATCCTTACAGATGGCCAATTCTCTCACACCAGAAGCGACTTGCAGTTTCTCAAGTCACTCCTGACGTGAGAAAAAAAAAAACAGTTCAAGGCCTGGAAGGCAATATCCTGCTCCTGCATACATATGGGTTCCTTCTGGCTAACCCTATGGCTAAAACCCTATATTCTTGGCACATTGTCAACAATTTATCACGGAAAGCCAGATACTTTAGTGGCATATGGATATACAAAGCTGCCTTATGTACTTTTGAGTCAAGGACTATCTACTTGGAGTGGCAGCAGCTGTCTCAAAAGTCTCATGAACCTGGGATCTTCCACACAACCAAGCGCTACCACTTTGTGAGAGCTGCTCCCTGGCTCTGGAGAGCAGCTGCAGTTTGGGTCTCATTATGAAGAAGGCGAGGCTGCATTGTGCAGGCTGTACATAAGGGCAATTCTTCTGACCTCCAGATTGGAATAAGATGGAATTTACATTTCTTGATAGGAAAAAAATTAACACATGCAGCACATATAATTAGAACACTGGATTTCCTTTCTTTTTACTCACAATTTCCCAGTATAGAGTCCCTGGATGATTCCAGGATCTTTATGCTGATGAGTTACCATTAAAAACAGAAATGAACGTGCCAGACTATTGGCAAATATTTACAGATTTTTTTAAAGTGTGCAGCTTGAGCTAAACGATTCTCCATTTCCTGAAATTGTCACCGTCTGTTCAATAATACAATCAGCTCCTATTGCACTCAAGGTTATGGTTTCTAGATCTTCTAACAATCTTCTGATTTTTACGGGGCCAGATAACCCCGAACTATACTATAATGGATATTTACATTCATTATATTGTGTGAAATGTAAGACTATCAACAGATCCTGAGGGCATGGCATCAAATGGTGTGGGAAGCTGGGGGAGTGTTTTTGCTCCGGAGATTGAACAACTGGCTATATAAGATTATTAGAGCAGAATTGCTGTTGTGGATTCCTGTTTTTTTTTTCCTGAACTCTGCAGTGGATCTTGGAATGGAGCGCTTCCTGGATCAAATTGGGCCAAAAAATACTGGAACAGGAGCTTTCACACAAGCCATAAGGAAAAGTCACTCACTGCCCCTCTTTCGAGATGCATATTTTGATATCAAGGTTCAAGAAATAAGACAGGTGTTATGTTTTCTGAGACTTTGTTTTTATGTTGGTCTGTGGAATGAAAAGATCCACTGTATTGTTGAAGGCTTTGTGGCTGGAATCACTGGGTTGATGTCAGTTTTCTGAGCTGTATGGCCATGTTCCAGAAGCATTCTCTCCTGGCGTTTCGCCCGCATCTATGGCAGGCCTCCTCAGAGGTTGTGAGGTCTGTTGGAAACTAGGAAAATTGAGTTTATGTATCTTTGGAATGTCCAGAGTGGGAGAAAGAACTTAAGATCGTCTGAGGAGGCCCTGCTATCGATCCTGCTTTCTTCGCAGGTGCGTCTGGCGGGGACAAGAGACAGGACCCTCTCAGTGGTGGCTGTGGAACTCCCTCCCTATGGATATTAAATCGGCCCCCTCCCTCCTGACTTTCCGGAAAAAAGTAAAAACCTGGCTCTTTGAACAAGCTTTTGGAAATGCAGCATAATAGATAAACATGGAACTATGAAAGAGTGAACATGGAACGGCTAGACGATGCTACTGGAAAAAAGAGTTTAACAGGAAAACACTGGGAATTATATGTTTTTAATGAGGTTTTTTGTATAGATGACTGTTGTGGCATCAAATTGCTGCCAATTTGTAAGCCACCTTCAGTTGCCTTTGGGCTGAGAAAGGCAGGATAGAAATACCATAAATAGACAGATAAATAAGAAACTTGTCTATTCAAGGTAGGTGTGAATGTTTCAATTGGCCACCATGATTAGCATTTATTGGCCCAGTAGTTTCAAGGTGTGACTTCTTACTGCCTGGGGGAATCCTTTGTTGGGAGTTGGATTAGCTGGCCCTGATTGTTTATTGTCTGGAGTTCTCCCATTTTTGAGATAAATGCTAATCCAGGTGGCAAATTGAAACATCCACCTACCTCAAACAGACAAGAGTTCTTTCTCTCACCCGGGACATCCCACAGATATACAAACCCCATTTTCCTAGTTTCCCACAGACCTCACAACCTCTGAGGATGCCTGCCAGAGATGCAGGCGAAACATCAGGAGAGAATGCTTCTGGAACATGGCCATACAGCCTGGAAAACTCATATCCTGCAACAAAGTCAATTACACTTGTAGCTAAGATCTGAATCTCTTACTTTGGGATGAGAGGGAGATGCAATTTACTGTGCCCTACCAATAAGGTCCTAGAAGTAGTAGTGACCACAGATGGTTGAAGATGCATGTAGGTGAGTTTCATTGTTGAATTTGTTGTGTAGGGTGGTATTTTTCAATTCCAATGAGAGCTAGCAAGATAGCTGTAACAAATGGGCTGTTTGTCAAGGTGGGTATATCATTTTAGATGCTGATTGTCATATTTATTATAGGAAGAAACATCATTTGGGCATTCCTCCTGCTCCTATTAGAGTAGGGGTGGAGACCTTTGGCCTAGTAGCTATTTTTGACTGCAACTTTCTGCCATGCTGATCCCAAATTTTTGAGAGGGCTACCACTGGGTTCCACGTCCATGTACTACAAAATCACAGACAGTTGGGATTATGGGAGTTATACTTCAACACACCTTGAGGGCATAAAGTTTGAAAAAGATGTTTTAACTTGTCAAGATGATGTTTTGCTGCACTCACACCCTCCAGCAGTCCTAACCAGCACTGTCTATAGTCAAGAATGCGGAGACCTGCATTCCAACAACAGCTGGTTGGCGACAATTCTTGCCCTTGCTCAAAGGCCAGGCTGTGGAGTATTTGGCCCTCTAGATCAGAGCTTTCCAAACTGTGTGTTGGGACAGTTGGCTGTAACGTGTGTGTTGCATGAACATAACAAGAAATGATAAAATCTTGGAAATATATGCTATCGTATTACAAATCATGTATTTTTAAAGAATATACAAGAAATATTTCCATTGTATGTTGTGTCCCCATACATTTTGTTATTACAATTTATATATATATATGTGCCCATATCTCTTATATGGGGTTGTTTTCCTTCAGTTTGCTAGTAAAACCAAATTACTGTGTCATGAACTACAAAGCATGTCACCAACATGAAACATTTGGAAAGCTCTGCTCTAGGTATTAGGTGCAATTCACAGAAGACCCTGCCAGCTTGGCTAATGGTAATGAGTTGCAGAGCTATCGTTCAATGCCTTTTAGGTTCCCCGTTGTTCTAAGGGCACAATGAAAATGGCTGAAATTTCACCACACTGAGAAGGGAAATGGTGTGGGGTGGTAGTATTTAAGGCAGCAGTCTTACTAATCAAGTCCCAAGGGAACTCATTTCCACATAAATATGTTTTAGAAAGGTGCTATAAATCACACATGAACAAAGTATCTTGCTCTGCACTGGCTGCTTCCCCTTGCAGAAAATGACAGGCATCGATAGCCCAGCCATAGGAGTGGCTTTGGATAGCAGCATCGCACACACCCCATGGGTGGTTTGCTTGCATTTTCAAGTAAGGTGAGATCCAAGTTCCAATGAGCAGACTGAAACTGTTTGTGTTATGTGACAGCTAAAGTGCTTTCTTAAATTGAGTGGAATGGCTTTCAAAACATGTTTAGCATGCAGACATACACACACAACTACTTCACGTAAATTCTCAAGCCCTTGTTGACCAATGAATGGACGCCGTTAGTACATACAAGTTTTGCTCCTGGAAAATGGCTGCTCCAAGTTAATTATTGCTGAGAGGGAATAAAGGCTATGTAAACGCTCTATCAATGGAACCAGTCTGATTAGGCAAGCGACATAACTCTCAAGTCAACGGAATCAGTGTGACCTCAGAAGGGGCGCGGTTGCAGTTTGTGGATATAACATAATTACATCATCAGGTGAATAGAGGGCTCTACACCTCAAGACTTCAACAGTGGTGGGTGTAAATGAGATGAGCAGTACGTGATATGATCTAGTTACTGTATTTTCTGGCGTATAAGACTACTTTTTATCCCAGGAAGGTCTTCTCAAAAGTCGGGGGTTGTCTTATACACCGGGTATCGTCTTATAGGTTGGGTGCTGAAACTTCCGAGCCAGATTAGAGAATCTGCGGTCGCCACATACCGGGGGGGGGGGGGGGGGGGGGGCAAAAAAGAGTTGCTCACATCCCCACCGTATGTGGCAACCGTATGAAAGCAGCAAGGGTGCCACTGTACAAGTACGATAGAAGAAAATCCACTCGCCAGGGTTCATGGAAATAAGTGACTTAACGCGGTCCCGATGATGTGAGGGGGGCACCTCACCGGGAAGGTGTAAGTGAAGGGCAGAGCAAGCTGCAGGTGTCTGGGATGCCCAGGGTATGGAAAAAAGAGATAGAGTGGCGCTGTGCCCAGAAAAACATGCGTCTTTCACTTGTTTGGCCCACCCTTGTATCCTATTATCGTAACTCCATCTCTGCCTCTCAGATCTTGCTCCTGAGGACTGCAGTAAGTGGCGCAGGAGGCGTGCATGCGCGAGATCTGAGAGGCAGAGAACGAGTTACGATAATAAGAAAATCACTATATTGAAATCAATTCTGATATTTTTAAATTTTTTATTTGGTGTGCATTGGAAGAGGAGTAGTCTTATATGGCGAGTATATACCAAACTCTATATTTTAACTGGAAAAGTTGGGGGTCATCTTATACACCGGAAAATAGAGTAATAGCTAAGCAGGCTATTGAACGGTGTGGTTTAGTATCCTCCATGGTCTTGTCCGGTGACCAGCAATGCATTACACACATAAGTGTATATATGGAAAATTAATTTGGAATTTAAATTTTAAAAGCACAAAATCTTTTGTGTTTTTCACATTTCTAAAGGCCCAAAGCATGCCACCTCCCTCACTATGAGGTAATATGCGGCAATAGTCAGTTTTATTTGCCCAACAGGATACCTGGACATTTTGCATCTCAACTTAGTAGAAGGGTCATGTTTGAGGCCCTTCCTACTGGGCATTTTACTAACACTTTCAACAGCTAGATGAGCAAAAGGTATTGCCTGTGTCCTCTGCCTCATATATATAAAACGATTAGGAACATTTATACTCCTTTTTTTAAAAAAAAACTACATAAAAATAAGTATGTGAGGGAAGAAACAGAATCTAGTTAAGTTTATACAGGTTCAACGTATTAAAAGGCAAAGAAATAAATACTGGGATTGTTTCATATTTTTTAAAAATCCAGGTAAAAAATTATATTGGCTTTGGAAGAGAGTTGTGGGCTGAACTGAGCTCTTTAGTTCTGCAAAACACGCCCAGAGGGTTGGATAAAGCTCTGAAGGAATGTTTAGCCTTGATTCCTTTTCCTGAAAGTGCAATTAAACACCCCTCAGTATAGAGAGGTTGAAGCACATCTTAATTTAGATGCAACAATGCTGCCTTTTGGGGCCTTGCCATCAAGCAAGTAGCAAGCAAGCCAGGCTGGTGGGCTGGAAGGAAAAGTGTTGATGCTGATTTGTTGTGTGCAGAAGGAGGAACACTATTACTGGGGTTTCAACTAATCTGGAGCACGTGCACAGGAGAATGCAGTTGGTCAAGATGGGACGCTGAGATTTCAAGACTAGCTCTCAGCTAAACAACACCCTAAGTCATAAACAGGGATCCCCAAACCTGTGTTTGCTTCCCAGCACTAATATCGGGGCAGGGAAGGATGCAGTTGCAAGGAGGAACTGAGGGGATTACTCCAGTTCCCACTTCATGATGCTCCCACTTCTCAAGTAAACATTCACCTGGGCAAATTGAGCATGTGTGCAAGCATATGTGAGGAGGATTGGGGTTAAGCATCTATCCCTGCCTGCATATCTATTCCTGCAAATCTCCTGGACACAACACTATCATCTGACTGACCTGCATCTGCTTGGTTTCAGTCTTGAGGGCCCTTTTGACACATATATTAATTGCTTGGGGATAGTGAATGTGGTCACATGCGTGTATGGGCGTGTTTTTTTACTGCTTCCCATAATCTGTACAGCTAGTGTTTTATGGTGCCATTACTTTGCACTGGTTTGCTCTTTTGATATTTTGGACTCCATCTCTGACCACTAGCCCTGCTGGCTGTGACAATCAGAGATGTATCAATGGTAGAATAACACCTTGGGGAAAGCTGGCTGACCATTTCAGAATGGTCATCACATGAGTAGGCATGCATGTAGTAACACAGTTCATCCTAAAAGGGAGATGGCAGACGTTAATCCCTAGCAGTTGCAAATTGGAGGGAGTGGGGAGGAGAGAATGAAAACTTACAGTTCAGCAGCATCTAAGAATTATGCTCCAAGCACATGGAGGAAGACTTAGAGCAGATATGTGGAGATAGATGCACAGCGGTGTGCTGATTTCGGTATGGAAGGAGGACACTGTATCTCTGGAGGAATCTCCACTGGTCCCTTTGCTCAAGCAAGTGAAGAGTGAGGTAGCAGAAATGTTTACAAAAGTGTCCCCTCCCACCCCATGAATGTGTTGATCGACTGTACATAGGAGACTCTTCTTGCTCAGCTTTCCAGCCAGTTCTGCCCAAATTCCCAGTGGCTGTCCCATTGGGGGGAAAGAGGGCCAGCATTAAGACCTCATGTGATTAGTTCAAATAATGCATTGAGGGGATCTCTCTCTGCAAGAGCTCTCTCTTGGCCTTGTGCAGCAGTCCGCGGGATGTAGTGAGAAGGCTTCTTGCACTGCCCGATCCGTTGCAACTGGAGGCTGTACTTCTGGATCTTGTTAGACTTGCCCAAGGAGCCGAGGTCAAGGAATGAGGACTTTCGGAGTGAAAAAAAGGTGGGTACACTGACAATCCTCAGCAAAGGAGTTGTGATGACAAGGGTTTGTTTAGGTTATTGCTTAAGAATTGGGGAGAAAGTTTTTCACAAGGGCCAAGTGAGGAGACGAGGGCAGAGAGGAGACAGGGCTGTTGTGAAGCAATGGCCTCCTCTTTCCAAACGGTCCCTTGCCGAGCTGCAGCCAAGCCAGCGCATGGAGCACCAGACTCTGGGGCATCAAGGTTCAGTGCAACTGTACTCTCTGAAGCTGTAACAGCAAAAATCCATAGTGATTGATGGAGACTCTTAGTAGTCTGATTCATGGCTTTCACGTAAATTCCAGCCTCTTAAAAGATCCTGAAGGTCAAGATGCAACTAGGCTAGGTCTCCACTTGTAGTGGTTGCTAAAACACAAAAAGCTCTTTGCTTTTCCAGGAAATGTTTGTCCCAAGTATCCCAGCTGTCTCTTAAGATGCGGTCCTGCAGGTTCAAGCTTTAAGACAATGGAGTGGGATTCCCCTGAGCAACAATGCTGTGGCCTACTCCATGGTGAAGGAAAATGCAAAGCCAGTCTTAAAATAAAATTTCAAAATCTGCCCAAGGTTAAGAGAGAGGGCAAGGCCTTGAGCACAGAAAGGGTCGAAGGACAGGCACCAGATGGGTCCCAGTGGTTGACAGCGGCATGGAAGACCAGAGCAAGGAGGGGGTGAAGTTCAGCTTCTGGAGGCCATGTATTGGGGCAGGAAACACTGGAGTGGAGAAAGAGAAAAAACATTATATCAAGTGCTGGACTTGTGGGTAACTATCCATCATTACCTTTTCCACCACCACCTTGCTCCCTTTCCTGCTGTTAACCTGGTGGCTGATGGTTCAGCTTCTTCCTGGCTGTGGCCTAAAAGAGGGAACAATTCCTTTGCCATTGGTTCTCACATGCTGCTGCAGCTGAAGCAAGAATGGAGGAAGCTTTGCATTATCCACGAAAGCCAAAGGGCTTGGGTCACTGGATGGCCCTTAATATTGGAAAGTCCACAATCTATTGGAAATTCCAGTACAAAATAACATTATTACAAAGGTAAAATGATGTCACCTCTGTCTAGCAAAAGGTGAATCTCTGTGAACATAGAGACTACTTGAAAAGCACAAGTCAAGAATGGTGTGACCTTGTTAGAAGTCAAACGTTAAGACTAGTGATATTCATAAAACATTAATATAATAGCACACAGGTAGCTCAGCTGTTAAACTGAGGAACCATGTCTTTAAATGGACAAGGATAAAGACAGGCCACTAAAAATATACCTGGTTAGCAGATGATGATTGTTTGAAGTAGAATTTGCTATTGTAATATTTATTTGTTTGTTTGTTTATTTAAAACATTTGTAACCCATCCTTCTCAACCCCCGAGGGGGGACTCAGGACTGCTTACACTGGCAGCAATTTGAAGCCAAAACATACAAAAACACAATATAACACTACCATATCCAAATCCGATTCAGCAACCAACGACCCAGTCCAAAGCCTGTCCTAAAACTTTGTGATTGCTGTCAAGCCTGTTACCCAAATGCCTGGTCCCAAAACCATGTTTAGAGCTTCTTCCTAAAGTAAAGGAGGGATGGAGCTGACCTAATTTCACTGAGGAGCATGTTCCACAGGTGAGGGGCCACCACAGAGAAGACCCTGTCTCTCGTCCCTGCCAAACGTGTTTGCGAACGATCTTAAACTCAGAGGTGGGATGTAGAAAAGTAAGACCTATATATATATATACACACACACACACACACACACTCCCTTAAAACCTCTTATTTAAGACATGCACTCAAGAGACAAAACAAAGTAGCAAAACAACAGAGAGGAAACAATCAAGGACATCTAATCACCTCTCAACAAAAGATTGCCCCAGGCACTGCCAGGCCATCAAATGCTAATCAAGGTGGTCAGTTGAAACATTCACACCTAGCTCCAACAGACAAGAGTTCTTTGTCCCACCCTGGTCATTCAACAGATATATAAACCCATTTTCCTAGTTCCAACAGACCTCACTACCTCTGAGGATGCTTGCCATAGATGCAGGCGAAACGTCAGGAGAAATGCCTCTAGAACATGGCCATATAGCCCGAAAAAACCGTACAACAACCCAGTGATTCCGGCCATGAAAGCCTTCGACAATACAAAGTAGTCTTCTTTGAAAAGTAACATATCTTGTTTACTAACAAACTTATATATATTCAGTATGCAAGCAAATAGTCTTTAAAATGTCTTTAAATACATCTATACTTACTCAAGTCCATGAGCACATACATCCACTTCCAATGAAATGGTAAGCAGACTTACCACACTGAAGTAAACACATCTACCTCATTGAAGTCCAAAAGCAAACTGAACATAAAATGGTGTCCTGAGTTTGCACGTGCTCAGTACAATCACATCTGTAACTCCTTCCACATCAAAGAGGTAAGTCAAACTGGCAAATCAACACACACATAGAATGCAGGCTAACAAGTATAGATACATTAACAGTCAGTGGAAGCTTGGAAGATTGCTATTTCCAACACTTAAGAAGAGCTACTGATCTTCCCTACCAAAGCCTTCCCAGTTGTGTTGAATTCCAACTTCCATCACTTCCATCATCCAGATTGGAAGTGGTTGCTCTGAGTTTGTAGGCATGAACGATAATGACACAACACCATTTTCTCCCAAAAGAGACAACAAATCAGGTCCCACTCAACTAGAACTAGGGCTTCCCTGCTTGTGGAAAAAAGCAAATTGCTAAATGGTGTGATTTTTTTATAGGGGTGGCATAATTTTATTCTACACGTCCTCAAAAGAGTTCAGGGCAGCAAGAATGTGTCTACAGGGAAAGAAGAAAGCTATGGATTTATCAATGCTTAGTTCCATCCACTTATTTAATGTTTACATCTAAAGTAGCTCAGGATCACAATATGACCAATCCAAGGTCACTTGGCAACTTTCATGGACCAATAAAGTTTTAAACTCAAGTTTTCCTAGTCTGGGAATCTAACCACAACAATTGTTTTTTCTTTCTGCCTAGCTATATCGATCAAATATCCTGCCGTTCTCTTGGCAAAGGAATCAAAGTAGTTATGTGGTCAGTGGGGTTACATGCATCAAGGGGTTGCTGTTAGGGTGGGTTGAGAAGGGCGGGTTAGAAATGTTTGAAATAAATAAATATACATCTGGGGATTACTTCAAACAGATGATTTGCAATGGCATGTGTGTCTATCCAAAATCAACAAAAGTCCCATGGAAACTGGTGAGTGGCAACAGGGCCAGAACTTTGAAATCTGGAAACCTCTAGCTGTGGAGTGGCTCATGGCCCGTGGATATGGAATCAGTTGTTCTAACTCACAGCCAAGGCTCTACTCCCCCATGAGAGATCGTCTATGATGGTGGTGACAGACAACGCACCTATGGTCTGGTATGGTCCTTTGAGTACTAACCCACAATCTGCTGAGTGCCTACATCAGTTCTCAGGCATATTCTGTGATTATACAAAAAGAGCACACGAATTGCAATTGCTGTCAAGCCTGTTACCCAAATACCTGGTCCCAAAACCATGTTTTCAGCTTCTTCCTAAAGGAAAGGAGAGATGGAGCTGACCTAATTTTGCTGAGGAGCATGTTCCACAGGCGGGGGGCCACCACCGAGAAGGCCCTGTCTCTCGTCCCCGCCAAACACATTTACGAACAATCTTAAACTCCACGATAATCTTAAACCACAAGAGATCCCACCTCACCTTCAGTCAGATCAGTTTCCTTCTGAGTAGCCTTTGGACCAACGTCTCCGTCCCTCGGATTTGCTGCCTGGCAGCTGGCAAGAGGACTCCAGCTTGCTTTCTGGCCTCTTCCTTGGTGTGTTCGCCCAGGAGAGCTGCTCAGAGGAGCTGAATGGTTTTCTTCTGGAACTGGGAACAAAGTCTTTGTGTTCCTCCTGTACCAAAACCAAGAAAAGGGTTAGGTGCTTTAGGAAGGCATGTCTGTTCATGCTGCTCCCAGATGGCATCTTTCTGATCCCCAAGTGCCTGTGGCAAAGTTCATTTGTCTCCTGCCCATGTGAATTTAGAAACAGTATAAGGTAGTACCCAAGTTACAAACATCTGACTTACAAAGAACTCCTAGTTTAAAACGGGGGTGAGACAACCGGAAGTGAGAGGAACCTATTCTTCGGAAGGGAAATTCACTCTTGAAAGAGTTATCATGAGGGAAAGTGTCTCCACTGTAGCCTTGTCACCAATCCCTATTTCCACAACAAGCCAAATTTTCAAAATCCAATGATCACAGGGACAGAAAGTGAGGTGAAATCTTCTGAACAGGGGCACAGACAGCAAGACAAACACCATGGGGCTGTTTGCCCTTCCCTATGCTTTCCGAAGCATGCATTCAAGTGTGTGTGTGTATGTGTATATGTGTGTGTGCATGTCTATGTAAAGGTAAAGATTAAGTCTAGTCGTGTCTGACTCTGAGGGGTGGTGCTCATCTCCATTTCTAAGCCGAAGAGCTTGCATTGTCTGTAGACTTCTCCTAGGTCATGTGGCCAGCATGACAATGTGGAGCACATTTACCTTTCCACCTAAGCTGTACCTATTGATCTACCCACATTTACATCCTTTTGAACTGCAAGGGTGGCAGAAGCTGGGGCTAACAGTGGGATCTCACCCCGCTCCCTGGATTCAAACTGCCAACCTTTTATTCAGCAAGTTCAGCAGCTCAGTGGTTTAACCCACTGCACTACCAGGGGGCCCTACAGACACACACACAAACCTATAGAACTTATCTTGTTTGTAACTTGGGGATCGTCTATATTGGTGAAATGATTCCAGATCTTTTTAAATTTTCATTACAGAAAAAAACCAGGAAATAACCTTTCCCATGTCAACTTCTTTTGCATCTGGTTGCTGAAAAACACTGGGGAGTCAACTGAATCATAGAATCATAGAGTTGGAAAAGACCTCATGGGCCATCCAGTCCAACCCCCTGTCAAGAAGCAGGAAAATTGCATTCAAAGAACTCCCAACAGATGGCCATCCAGCCTCTGTTTAAAAGCTTCCAAAGAAGGAGCCACCACCACATTCCGGGGTAGTGAGTTCCACTGCTGAACGGCTCCTCACAGTCAGGAAGTTCTTCCTAATGTTCTAAATGATTTATGAGTTTGGTTCTGGTATTGACCTCATGTGTTCAAAGGCACCCTTTTCCTTAAGAGTATGCTTGGCTGCCTATCTGTTCTACTCTTTTGTACCTGGGATCTGGCTGGGTTCTAAATAAATCCTTAACATAAGCACATTCAGGCATTACAGTGCATAGTTTTTAATAAATCTTACCAAAAGAATCCTGCATTTACAAACTAGTACCAGCAGAGGGCCCACACCACAAAAGCAAAGTCACCCTAACATTATTGAAACGTGTATTATTAATCCCAGAAATATTCCAAATTCCTTCTGCATCCTTCCCTCAATATCATGGTTCTTTAAAAAACCCAAACCACATGCACACATTGCTAATTGCTGCCTTCTGGCTTCCTGAGCATTTGAAAGATTTTTCTTGGTGGCTGTTAAGTCCTTTCTCTGCCAAAAGCATTGTGACTTCTATAATAAAATCTTATTGTTTTGAAGAACAGATGGGAAAATAGCTCAATTTTGTGTGTGTCAGGAGCGACTTGAGAAACTGCAAGTTGCTTCTGGTGTGAGAGATTTGGCTGTCTGCAATGACGTTGCCCAGGAGACGCTCGGGTGTTTGATGTTTTACCATCCTTGTGGGAGGCTTCTCTCGTGTCCCCGCATGGGGAGCTGGAGTTGACAGAAGGAGCTCAACCCGCTCTCCCTGGATTCGAACAGCTGACCTGTCGGTCAGTAGTCTGCTGGCACCAGGGTTTAACCGATTGCGCCATAGGGGTTCCTGCTCCTCAAAGTGATGGTATGCAAGTGCTGCTGGACTTATTTATATGGCTGGAACTACTGTTCCAGCCATATAAATAAGTGTTCAACCTGCTTCTCCTTTATCTCACCCGAATTTTTAATCTGTTTTTAATTAGTTTTTTCTTTTAATCATTACATGTAGCTTGACCATTGTCACTGGGATTGTGTTTACTGTAATTTTATATCGCTATGCATTCATATGTTTTATGTAATTATGATGCTGTTTATTGTTTTAGTTTTAGGTTTTATTTTGCTGTAATTTGTTGTTTGGGCTTGGCCTCATGTAAGCCGCCCCGAGTCCCCATCGGGGAGATGGTAGTGGGGTATAAATAAAGTTTATTATTATATTATTAAAGGCAACTAGTGCACAGGAATAAATGGAACTGATTAGCTTGTTTACACATTCCTATGGTGTGTTATATAGGAATGCTATGGAAACATTCAAGGAGGGGGAGAAATGGTAGAGAGAAAGAAACTGTCTCCATGGCCCCATCTACACTGCCATCTTATATGGTTTGAAACTGCCTTATATGGCAGTGTAGGTGGGGTCCCTCTTTGGAGATTTTCAAACAGACACTGGATGGCTATCTGTCAGGAGTGTTTCGAATGTGTGTTCCTGCATAGTAGAATGGTGCCCTTGTGGTCCCTTAAAGTTCTATTCTAGATTCCAATAACAGCTTGAGAAAATACTTTTGGAGAGCAGTTATTATTGGGTTGTTGTGAGTTTTCAAGGCTGTATGGCCATGTTCCAGTGGCATTCTCTCCTGATGTTTCGCCTGCACCTATGGCAGGCATCCTCAGAGGTTGTGAGATCTGTTGGAAACTAGGAAAATGGGGTTTACATACCTGTAAAATGTAATTTCATTCAGGGTGGGAGAAAGAACTCTTGTCTGTTTGAGGCAGGTGTGAATGTTGCAATGGGCCACCTTGATTAGCATTTAATGGCCTTGCAGCTTCAAAGCCTGGCTGATTCCTGCCTGAGGGAATCCTTTGCTGGGACGTGATTAGATTGCCTTGATCGTTTTTTGTCTGGAATTCCCCTGTTTTTGAGTGTTGTTCTTTATTTTCAGTTATTATTTTAGAGGTTTTAAAATACTGGTAGCCAGATTTTGTTCATTCTCCCAGGCTTCTTACTGCCTGGGAGAGTCTCCCATTAGGAGCTATTAGCTGGCCCCGACTTTCTTTTGTCTGGAATTTCCCCGCTTCATCGAGAATTCCAACAGGGGATTCTACAGGCAGGAAGCAGCCAGGCTTTGAAGCTGTAAGGGCATTCAATGATGATCAAGGTGGCGAACTTTAGGAATTTCAACTTGCTTCAAGTGGGCGGGGTTCTTTCTCCCACCCTGGACATCATTCCACAGATATATAAACCCAATTTTCCTGGTTTCCAACAGATCTCACAATCTCTGAGGATACCTGCCGTAGATGCAGGCAAAACGTCAGGAGAGAATGCCTCTGGAACATGGCCATACAGCCAGGAAAACTCACAACAACCCAGTGATTCCGGCCATGAAAGCCTTCGACAATACATTGAACATCTCTACAGAGTTGTTGTTGTTGTTATTTCTACCCTGCTTTATCTCTCTAAAAAGCAACTAAAATAAAAATAAATACATTATATAATTTAAAATCTAAAAAAAAACATATAATCACTGAATAAACCATAGAAATATTAAAAAATACATAGTTAAAAGCAATAAAACCATGACACAAATCTATTAAGATGCATAAAACACAACACCCCCTGGTTCAATCTTAAAAATCATCAGAACAATTGTCAGAACTCCCTTCCCAGCATAGCCAATGCTTGTGGATTTTGGGAACTGCAGTTTACCAAGCCTTACTTCTTGTTACAAGCAATTTGTACTTACCATGAACAACTGTATCTACTAGGCTTGTGCAAAATTTTGGATAATAATTGTATATTGGATTAAATTCGTTAAATTTGTGCATATGATGCAATTTCCAAGACATTCGGGAGAGGGGAGAGGAATTTAGAAATTGAAACACCATTTTTTTGTAAATGTTCTGTAACGTTCAGATGTCTCCCAAGGTCAGTTTAATTTTCAGTACATATAACCATTGAGCAACTTTGCTAAAGCCACATACAGTGCTTAAAAACCAATTCTTTTACTTTGGAGTTTTGCCCCATTGTCATCATAAGGACAGCGGGACTACATTTAATGAGCGGGAGACTCAGCCATTTTAAATGTAGGTTCTTGTGGGTTTTTTCGGGCTATAGAGCCATGTTCTAGAGGCATTTCTCCTGACGTTTCGCCTGCATCTATGGCAAGCATCCTCAGAGGTTGAGAAGGTCTGTTGGAAGTAGGAAAAATGGGTTTATATATCTGTGGAATGGCTGGGGTGGGGCAAGGAGCTCTTCCCTGCTGCAGCTAGGTGTGAATGTTTCAACTGATCACCTTCATTAGCATTTGAAGGCCTGCCTGAGTCTGGGAAAATCTGCTGCTGGGAGGTGTTAATCTGTGCCTGGTTTTTTCCTCTCTGTTGTTTAGCTGTTATAATTTTAGAGTTTTTTAATACTGGTAGCCAGATTCTGTTCCTGGACTATCTTAACAGCATCCACCCAAACATCCAGTTCACCATGGAAAAAGAAAATGAAGGAAGACTGCCTTTTCTAGATGTCCTAGTCATCCGCAAACCAGATCAACAATTGGGTCACACCGTCTACAGAAAACCCACACACACAGATAGATATACATAAAAACTCCAACCATCACCCAAGTCAAAAAAGAAGCACCATTAAAGCCTTGGCAGACCGTGAAAAAAGAATCTGTGAACCCCACCTCCTCCAAGATGAACTGAACCACCTCAACTGGGCTCTACAGGCCAATGGATACTCCACCTCAGACATCAGAAGAGCTGCAAGACCAAGAACAAGCCACGAGAGTCAAGATGAAGATCCACCCAGAGGAAAAGTGTTCTTGCCATACATCAAGGGAACCACTGACCGCATAGGGAAGCTGATGAGGAAACACAACATACAAACAATCTACAAACCCACCAAGAAAATCCAACAAATGCTACGTTCAGCAAAGGACAAGAGGGATCCTCTCACTTCTGCAGGAGTCTTCCGTATACCATGCAGCTGTGGACAAGTCTACATAGGGACCACCAAACGCAGCGCCCAAACACGAATCAAGGAACATGAAAGTCACTGCAGACTACTTCAACCAGAGAAGTCAGCCATAGCAGAGCACCTGATGAACCAACCTGGACACAGCATATTATTTGAGAACACAGAAATGCTGGACCACTTTAACAACCACCATGTCAGACTACACAGAGAAGCCATTGAAATCCACAAGCATGTGGACAATTTCAACAGAAAGGAAGAGACCATGAAAATGAACAAAATCTGGCTACCAGTATTAAAAAACTCTAAAATTATAACAGCTAAACAACAGAGAGGAAAAAACCAGGCACAGATTAAGACCTCCCAGCAACAGATTTTCCCAGACTCAGGCAGGCCTTCAAATGCTAATGAAGGTGATCAGCTAAACATTCACACCTAACTGCAGCAGGGAAGAGCTCCTTGCCCCACCCCAGCCATTCCACAGATATATAAACCCATTTTTCCTACTTCCAACAGACCTTCTCAACCTCTGAGGATGCTTGCCATAGATGCAGGCGAAACGTCAGGAGAAATGCCTCTAGAACATGGCTCTATAGCCCGAAAAAACCCACAAGAACCTAGTGATTCCAGCCATGAAAGCCTTCGACAATACATTTTAAATGTAGTTTAGAAAGGCGAGGCCCCCAGTGGCAGAGAATGCAAAAGGCCCTGCCGTAAACTACATTTCCCAGAATGCAATGCTGCTCAGGACCCAAAGCACCCTCCCCAAAAATAACCTATTCACGTAACAACAACAACAAAATTTGGAAGTTGAAACCAGAAGTTGATCTTCAGTCATTTCTTTCAAATGGGGTGCTCTGCAGGGACAAAAGGCGCTGTTGGCAGTCACTGCAGTTGCCCACTTCTGCAGTCTAAATATATTAACTGCATATGTAAGGGGTGTGTGCGGGAGGTATCCGTAGACAAGGCACCTGCTCTTGTGCTACAGTCTTGGTAACAAGTGTCTGAGGGAGAACGGAAGACAGGCATTTTCTTCTTGCCTTCCACTGACTGCAAGCCTTGCCGCCTAAAATCCATTGACTGCAATGGGAGGAAAATCCCCAGAATATGAGTAGTGTCAGATTCTTTCCTAGGGATTTTTTTTTCATGTCAAGAGAAACTTGAGAAATTGCAAGTCGCTTGTGGTGTGTGCGAATTGGCCATCTGCAAGGACGTTGCCCAGAGGACACCCGGATGTTTTGGTGTTTTTACCATCCTTGTGGGAGACCTCTCTCGTGTCCCCACACGGGGAGCTGGAGCTGCCTGAGGGAGCTCATCCACACTCTCCAGGATTCAAACCTCCGACCTGTCAGTCTTCAGTCCTGCTAGCACAAGAGTTTAACCCACTGTGCCACCAGGGGCTCCTTCCTAGGGCATAAAGTATATATTGTATATACATATAATATTTATAATATTATAATGTAATACAATATAATACTAATAATAATATGCTATTATTATAATATATTTTATATTACATGTAAAAAAATTTGGTCGTGTCAGGAGCGACTTGAGAAACTGCAAGTAGCTTCTGGTGTGAGAGAATTGGCTGTCTGCAAGGACGTTGCCCAGGGGACGCCCGGATGATTTGATGTTTTTATTATCCTTGTGGGAGGCTTCTCTCATGTCCCCGCATGAGGAGGTGGAGTTGATAGAAGGCGCTCATCCGCCTCTCCCCAGATTCGAACCTGCGACCTGTCGGTCTTTAGTCCTGTCGGTACAGGGGTTTAACCCACTGCGCCACCGGAGGCTCCTATTACATGCAATATTACTAATAATATTACAATATAATGGTATAATACAATACAGTAATATATAATACTGATATTGTACTATGCTAATAATTTAATATATTATGCTTTACCCCAGTGCTCCCAATTTGCCAATGTTTCACTACCTCTGAGGATGCTTGCCATAGATGCAGGCGAAACATCAGGAGAGAATGCCTCTAGGCCATGGCCACATAGCCCGAAAAAACCTACAACAACCCAATGTTTCCCTTACTTTTCTGGCAGAACATTGCTAGAGTTTTCAGAACAGACCTGGCGGCCTACAGAAGTTCAGATGTCATCTCATTAATGTATCTCCTTCTTCTCTGATAGTCTCAGAGAGAGTGTAGACTGCTTCTTATATGAATAATCAAGAAATCCAGTATTGTTCACTTATTTCCAATGGGGAATAAATGGGGAGGAGTGATACCTGAGATTATGACTTTTACAACGACACATGCTGACACCCCACAAAGCGCCATGTCTGCTTCCTGGTTTCCAACACCTTGAACCCAATTTCTAACTGTAATTATTTTAAAACAACAGATTGACATACACACTTACAGGTAATACTGGGCAACTCCAGGAAGAATCCTCCACAGGCTCATTGGCACTACTTTTCTGGCTGAGCATCTCAGATGCACTCAAGCTACTTTTGGTCCTTCTACTGTCTAATTCCGGAGTGTTCCAAGAGTTTATACCAGCACTGGCCCTTCTGGAATTCTGCTCAATTGCATATAGACGTGGGCCAGTCCCTTCTGGTTTGGAAAGATCAGTAGATGACCGATATGGATCCCGAGGGGTTGCGTTTTCATCAGCTTTGGTTGCCGAATCCTCCAAAGAGTGCAAACCCTGCCTTGTTCGCCACGCACTTCTCACCGTGACTTGTTTGGTCTCAGATGAGTTTGGAGGGCCATGGCTTTTCCAGTGAAGCGTGTCCACCGCTGTTTCACTGTTCTTCTCAAGTAACTCAGAAGGTTTGATTGTAATGCTACTTTTAGAGACTACAGTTCCCACCCTGCTTCTCAAAACAGGGTCCCCATTTTTATCAGCCCCTGGTGACTTCAAAGACATATTGCTCTTGTTAATCGAGATCTCGTACGGTGTGTTGGCTGCTTTCCCTCCTGTGGAAAGCTCATTTGGAATGACTCTACTATTGCTGGCAGAAACCTGCTGCTGGTCCTTTCTGGGCTCACTTGTGCTGGTCCTTTGAGTAACTGGCTCAGACGGGTAAATAGTAATGCTGCTTGTCATTTTGTGTGACACGGTTTTAAAGACAGCGGGCTGCTTTTCAGAACTGGCTTCTGACCCTGACCCAGAACCACCCATGATTTCCTTCATGTCTTTTTCCACAATTGCTGGCTTGATGACGGCTTGAGATCTCAGAGCTTCCCTTGGGCTGAACTGCCTTCTGGATTTCAACCCTGCTGAAGATGTTTTGGATGGCCTTCTGAGTTCCTGGCCCTCTTCACCATAAGACCTTTTGTCATTCTCGAGGGGAGATGTCCGATAAGATCCCATCGAGCTTGTGAAGTCTCTAGAAACAGGTTCCTTCTTTGGCCCTAAATCAAACGTATTAGGAGCAACTGTGACTTTACCTTTCTCTTCTGGAGTGTTACTGGGGTTGATGACTTTGGTTCTTGTAGACGTTGATTTCAGGCCACTGTTGTTTGAATTTACTGTGAACGTCTGATCAGTCTTTTCTTTCTGAGCAGCTAAATGACTCTGCAAGAGATCTTCCTGGCTTCTTGAAGAAAGCCAAGACTTTGCTAAAGGTAAAGGTTTTGTCATTTCCACTGGAGCATCTATAGACTCTCTTTCGTGAGATTTAGGGACCTTTACAGAGTCCTCTTCCAAGTGCTGTCTGCGAGAAGAAACAGGTGGTGTGTTTTCCATCTTTGAGCTGGTGGGCTCAGTATCTAACATTTCTGCAGAGAGATAATGCCGATAGGACAAAGCAGTTCCATTAGTTGGCCCATAATTAGTGCTTGAGATCCGAGTCTCCGTCAGAAGAATGGATGATTCCGTGAGATGTGTTTTATTTCCCTTTTCAGAAGATGATACAGCATTTTCTGTTTTGCTCAGCATGTCTTCAAGTTCATCAGATTTACAGAGATGAGTGTCATTGAGTGTCTGAGATGTTTTTTCGGCTTTACCTCTCAATGCACTTTCATTCTTGGGTTTCGAAGAAGACTTCCATGATTTGTGCTCCTGTGCTGCAGGTGGGTAACGGCTAAGCACGGATGGTTGCTCTCGAGATTTTTTGACTTCAGCAGGTGGAGTGACACTCTCTCTCTGCAATGGACTTGGTTTGTTTTCTATCTCTTTGCCATCAGTTGCTAATGTGTCTAACAATGCTGAAGTACTAGACGCTTTGGCTGTTCTCCTGCTGTTCAGATTAGGACTTGTAACCCGTTTACTAGCCTGGCCATAGCCCTCAGAATTTAATGAGGTTTCTCGATTACGTATCCTCTCCCGTCTATGCTGCGGTGAAAGTTCTCGGGACTTTTGCTTTGAAACAGCCGATTCAGCAGCGACCGCTCGGTGTTTAGCTCTATCATGCTTAATTCGGCTAGGCAAGTTAATTTCCTCAATTTCTGCCTCACCATTCTCTAGCTCTTTTTGTTTTTTCATCTGCGTTTTTATTTCTTCAAGTTGCCCCGTGAGCACCTTATTTTTATTCTGCTCACTTAAATAACTATCGTGCAGGTCATTATTTTTGGCTCTCAGGGTTTTAAGTTCTTCTTCTAAAGACTCAAAACATTTGATTTGAGTCTTCAGTTTCTCAATCTCTTGATTTAAGTCGTTCACTTTGTTGTCTTCTTGGTTTTTATTCTTCTGGTTTTCAGATTTGTTTCGAGTTTCATTTTCCATGAGTTTAAGGTAGTCCAAGCTCCCTTTTCTTCTTGTTTCTTTTGAGGACAGTGCAGATGTCGTCAAGTCAACTTCAATCCTCAGATCATTTCTCTCAAGTATACTATTGGACGATCGCTCCAGGAGATTCGATGTGTTTCGCGTCTGATCTGCCCGGTTCAGTTTGTTGTTTTGCTCCAACTTTTGTGTTAGCTCTTGAATTAACTTCTCATTCTGCTTCTCTTTTTCAGTGAAGTGTTTTCTTTCATTTACAAAAACAACAGCTAAAGATTTCAGTTTTTCCAGCTCACTCATCAAACTCTGCTCAGTTTTATCTAGCCGGTCTTCTGATTGTTCAAGTTCTTTTACTTTGGCCTTAAGAACTTCCAGTTCAGTTGAAATTTTCTTGGTCAGGTTTTTCTCCTCATTGAGGCTGAGGCAGAGCTGAGTGCAGTCGTTCTTACTCCGGCCAAAGGCGTCCTCCAACTTCTCCAGCTCTGTCATTCGCTTCTGAAGCCGCTCAATTTCAGATTTCAGCTCCCGAGTGAGACTTTCTTCTTCCTCCAGTTTCTCCTTCATCAGCTGGCAAAGCTCTTCTGCCTTCCTGATCTCCTCATCCTTCCCTTCGATTTTCAGAACCCTTTTCCGCAAAGTTTCCACATCAGCCAACATACTCGAGTTGCTGCCTTCTGCCTGGATTACTTTGTCCTGCAACTCTAGTAGTTCATCCTCAGCTTTCTGAAGGTTTTTGGTAGCTTCTTCCAATTCATCAAGGCGGCGACTGAGGCTCTGAAGCTTGAAACGCAAATGACGATTTGAGGTCTCTTTATAAGCAGAGTAATCTGCCATGTTTGCTGTTGTTGTTTTTGTTGCCTTTGGGGGGGGGGCAAGGGCTTTCAAAAGGCTTTATTCTTCCTGTTGTTTCATTAATCCTGATGAAATGATGGCAGCTGAAATGAAAGAGAAGAAAGAGATTATAATGAAGGAGAAAAGGCTTGTCCCAGTAGTTTTCTTTTCAAGACTTGTGATTCAATCTGCTCTGACTGCTTTGACTGGTGATAGCATACAGTCTCATCTCCTATAAAGCTGGCCTTCCAAATTTAAAGGTTTGGCATTCACAAATTCAACCAACTATGGATCTGACAACGCTCCCTGATTACTCTTTGACATTGGGGTTGCATTGCTGAAGGACAGCTAGGAACTCAATGGAGTGCTTCTTGCTTCTTCTCCATTATCTTTGCAACGCTTGTAGTTATTGGAACTATAACAACTCACAGTGTTGTCAAAGGCTTTCATGGCCAGAATCACAGGGTTGCTGTGTGTTTTCTGGACTGTAAGGCTATGTTCCAGAAGTTTTCCAGGCTGTATGGCTATCCTCAGACCTTACAAACTCTAAGAATACCTGCCATAGATGCGGGTGAAATGTCTGGAGAGAATGCTTCTAGAACATGGCCATACAGCCCAGAAAACTCACAGCAACCCAATCTGTTACCATATATATATATATATATATATATATATATATATATATATATATATATATATGTATTGTGTGTGTGTGTGTGTGTATATGTATATGTATATGTATATGTATATGTATATGGAGTATACTCTATATGGATCTTAAGCATCCTTGGATTTTTGTATCCAAATAAGGGCCTGGAACTAATTCCCCATGAGTTCAGAGGGTTGGCTGTATTTCCAAAAAGAGCTGAGAGAGTTGCTCCTTTCTGAAAATTTGGGATGCTACACTGAGCCAATGTAGATAGGAATAATATCTGATAAGACTATTGCTTACTCCATTGTAAAGATAGGGGTGAATTGGAAAAAAAGTATTTCCCTCCTGCAATCTGATGTACTATTTTGTACTACTATAGTATTGGTTCTCAACCTTCCTAATGTTGTGATCCCTTAATACAGTTCCTCATGTTGTGGTGACCCCCAAGCATAAAATTGTTTTTGTTGCTACTTCATAACTGTAATTTTGCTACTGTTATGAATCGTCATGTAAATATCTGATATGCAGGATGTATATTCATTCACTGGACCAAATTTGGCACAAATGCCTGATACGCCCAAATTTGAATACTGGTGGCATTGGTGAGGATTGATTTTGTCATTTGGGAGTTGTAGTTTCTGGGATTTATAGTTAATGTACAATCAAAGAGCATTCTGAACTCCACTAATGATGGAACTGAACCAAACTTGGCACACAGAATTCCCATGACCAACAGAAAATACTGGAAAGGTTTGGTGGGCATTGACCTTGTGTTTTGGAGTTGCAGTTCACCTATATCTAAAGAGCACTGTGGACTCAAACAATGATAGATCTGGACTAAACTAGGCATGAATACTCAATATGCCCAAATGTGAACACTGGTGGAGTTTGGGGGAAAATAGACCTTGACATTTGGGAGTTGTAGTTGCTGGGATTTATAGTTCACCTATAATCAGAGATCATTCTGAACCCCACCAACAATGGAATTGGGCCAAAATTCCCACACAGAACCCTCATAACCAACAAAAAATACTGTGTTTTCTGATGGTCTTTGGAGTCCCCTTTGACACCCCCCAGGGGTCCTAACTCCAAGGTTGAGAATGCTGTACTATAGCATTACAACACCTCATTCTACTGCATATATAAGCAAAACTGAGATATGAAATTCAGAGGTCTTAACTATTTTTATGCCTACTTTTCTTCAAGCAGCAGACAGCTGTTAGAAGTAGAATAAAGCCTTCGGGCTTTTCACCTGTAATTGCTAAGTTAACACTTCTTGAAGATAGAAAACTAGTAACTTAGGGTTAAGGCTACAGACAATGCCATTGCTGCTGCCCGTTTTTCGTCAAATGATATTTAGCCATTTGCGCTCCTTCTATTTTTATCAGTCTTATACTAATTTATGCAATGCTTTTGATACGAAATAAATAAATAAGGCACTCTGGCCCAGTATTCTTCTTGCTGTGGTGGCTTTCCTAACATAGAGGAGCATTCAAAAATGTGAGTACTCTCACCTGTATTTTCAAGTCTTCTCTAAAACCTGATTATCCGATTCACTACTAATAACCAGTGTGGTATAGTGGTTAGATTCTAATCACTGGACCATACTAAGTATTAGTAATGAGAAGAATAGTGAATTTCAGCAATGCAGTGCTGACCTGCAATTTCTCTTTAAAGTGTGAAATGAGTATGCGCCTTATTTTAATAAGAGGCATGTGCACACACACTTTATTTTCAAGCTGAATGATCTGCCTAGTAGAGGCACATAAACATGACTCAATTTAAAATGAAATGTGTATACTTCCCGCATGAATTATTTTATGAAATTGTTAGTTTTGCTACTACTGCCCTAAATTGCTAAATTTCAGTGGCATGACAAGAAATGTATCTGCATATGGGATGTGACCCTTGGGTGACTTCTGGTGCAGAATAACCCTGTGGCATTCCAAAGGTTGCCAAACCTTGGGATAGAGGGAACAGAACAAATTTCAAATCATAGTTTAACAAGTTTTTCTCATTAATTATCACCTCTGCTATTAAAGCAGAGGTGGATAATGTGTGTAGATGATGATGGACTGCAACTCCCATTAGCTCTAACCAGCACAGCTAATGGTGAGGGTAGACTGGTGTTGCAGTCTAGTAGCTGAAGAACCATACACTCCCAATCTTGCATTCAATGATAGTAGTATTTTAAAATAGAAGCCCATGTCTGCAACTCACATAACTATTTAAGGTCCTTGAATGTGAGGATAGTAGAGATGCAATCATCATATCCCTGGAAGTTGCTTCTGATGTCAATAGGAACATGTCACAAGTCTGTTGCCGTCCTGCTTGGTCCAATTTCTTGGGATTTTACTAGAAATACAAAGATATATACAGCAACATGGTGACATTCTTCTGATATGTCTCTTGTTGACACTACAGAAACAAACAATGCTAATTCATTAACACACCATTTTCAGAGCAAAGGACCTTTAATATTTTCTCTAGTTGAGAATAGGAATTGTGTAGAATACAGACGTGGGCCTTGAGGCTTTGGAGGCTTTTTTGCATGACACTGTTATAAAACGGAACTATATTGTATTTTCACTGCCATGATTACATCTATGAGATGTTGGGGTTTGCAGTTTAGAATGGGATAGTTAGAATTCTAAACTAGACAGGAATATCACCTTGCCAAACTAGAAATTCCATAAGATGTTGCCATGGCAGTTAGTGGAATATGGCGCCATAACTGTGTAGCGTGAAAGGTCAGTTTGTTTCATTCCTAGCAGCCCAAGCCAACATCAGAGAGGATGATGGGAAATGTAGTCCAAAACATCTAGAGCAGAGTTTTCCAAACTGTGCGTCATGACGCATTAGTGTGTCGGCTGCAGTGTGTAGGTGTCCCATGTAAATATATTGAGACACCTTCGAGTCTATACAAAATAAGCAATAAATCATACATTTAAAAATATAAATGAAAGATTTTCATGATAGGTTGTGTCCCCATGCATTTTGTTATTACAATGTATCATATATCTTATAAAAGATTGGTTTAGCCTAAGGTTTGCTAGTAAAACTGAATTACTGTGTTGCAAAATGATGCATGCCTAGAAAATTTGCCACCAACATGAAATGTTTGGAAAGCGCTAATCTTGAACAAATGATCTCCATTTCTTCTGTAGATTATGAATGTTGTAATAATAATAATAATAATAATAATAATCACCATCATTATTTGTATACCACCCTATCTCCTCAGGGCAGTTTCCAACATATAATGCAAACATTCAATCGCCACAAAGAAAACCATACAGACAAATTACATCAAGACAAGCTCATTAGACAATATAAAAAAACCTAATTTAACTTAATAAACAAAATATCAAAAAAGTATAATAAAATACAAAAATCCTGCTGAAGCATACGAAAAATAAAAAATTTAAAACCAATTGCACTGTAGATTCATCAGACAAGGCTTAACAACCAATGGCCAGGATTACAAAATGGATGCGGCCAACTATAAAAGAGCTGGGCAAGGGAGAGTGTAAGATAATAATTGTTGCCCACACCAATATTGTTTGGTTGTTCCAGACATTAACACAGCTTCCCTTGGTAAATCGGTATTATCAGGAATGGCCTTTGTACCAGGAAATTTAAATTGATAGACGAACCAACTTCCACAGGAGTCTGTGCACACGCTTCCTTTGACACGCCTAGGAAGTTGACATTGAAGCAGCACTCACTGAGTCATTCGTAAACGTGAACTATTTAATCTGCCTTATTTGATTATCCAATTGCAAATCACACAAGTTTTAACATTTAAAAACAAACTACCATATATATATTTGTGCATAAATCAACTTATGTATAAACTAAGGACAGGATTTGTAGCTTAAATTGCAGTTTTTGATCTGACCTGTGAATAAATTGAGGGACAATCCATGGAGAGGGCAAGTGCCTGTGCTGTCTCAGGGGGCCAGATGCCCCTTGCCACCACTGCTGCCATTTTCCCATCCAGACCTTCAAAAAGGCCTGAAGTAGCCCCATGGACAAAGAGAGTAGAAGGTTGGTACTTCTTTTGGGCTGTCCAGACTAAGCTCTAACCCAGGGGTCCTCAAACTAATTCCTGGGGGCCAGATGCGGCCCTCCAAGGTCATTTATTCAGCCCTCGCTCAGGTCAACCTAAGTCTGAAACGACTTGAAAGCACATAACTACAACAACAATCCTATCTCATCAGCCAAAAGAAGGCCCACATTTACCACTGAAATACTAATAAGTTTATATTTGTTAACATTGTTCCTCATTTTAATTATTGTATTGTTTTTAAGTGTTTTTTTACACTATGAATAAGATATGTGCAGCGTGCATAGGAATTCATTCATGGGGTTTTTTTTCCCAAATTAAAATCCGGCCATCCAACAGTGACCTGGTCCTCTGTTTAAAAAGTTTGTGGACCCCTGCTCTAACCTTTCAACAAGAAAGGAGTGGTCCCTTTTTTGACAAGAGTTAAGGTACAACAGTTATATTGACCCATGGATAAGACCAGATTTTCGGTTTGATTTTGTGGTAAAAATACTAGATTTATATATCAGGATATACAGTAGGTTTTGTAGCTCATTACTGCAGATTCAGAGCCTATAAAGGCCTCTCCTTCTCACCTAACCATTCTAAGGACTTTTCATTCATACAACATTCTAATTTGATTGGAACTATAGTTCCAAAATAATCTTGAACCCTTCCACACTACATACTGCAAAATTATGATATTTATTTATTTATTTATTTATTTATTTATTTACTGCATTTGTTGACCGCCGTTCTTAGCCCTAGGGCGACTCACGGCGGTGTACAACATATAAAAACAGTTTACAATAAGGCAATAACACAACAAAATATCAACATAACTATCAATAATACAACAATAATACAAATTACACTAAATCATCCGCGCCGTCTCATCTTAGAATCATAAACCAATCTCGTAATCCATATTCCGATATGATTTCATTTTAATTGCCATGCCTTTGTGAGCTTAGTGTGATTAGGCACTGGAATGATATAACGGAGTACATATTCTAAGGGATGCAGTTAACACAGCAGGTTAAAAAGCCAGCTACAGAAAATCTTGCTGGCCGGAAGGTTGGCAGTTCAAGCCACGGGTCGGGGTGGGTTCCTGCTGTCAGCCCTAGTTTCTGCTTACCTAGTGTTCGAAAACAGTAATGCAAGTAGATAGGTATATAACTTTAGCGGGGAGGTAAAAGGTGCCCCTGAAGATATGCCAGCAATTTGATCAGGAAAGCATCCATGGACAACAGGCTCCTCGGTGGGAAAAATGGATCAACATTACCTCCCCATGGCACAGCTTCGAAATGCTGGAAATGAAAAAGAGGGAAGCCTTGTCTGTGCCTATGTATTGTCTGTCTTTGTTAATTGTATAACGGCACTGAATGTTTGCCATACAGTGTTCCCTCAATTATCGCGTTCCAGGACCACCCGCAATAAGTGAAAATCCGCAAAGGAGGGACACTATATAAATTTTAATATTTATACATTATTATATATATTTTATATATTATTTTCTTACCCACGCTTCCTTACTCACCTCCTGGCCCATCCCGAGGGCACCTGCCTGCCTCCCTGGCATCCGCAGACCCTGGCAGAGCCACACAGGCCGCAGCAGGTCAGGGAGGCAGGCCTTCCCTGTTGGGTCTCAGGATGCTGCACTTCCAGGGTCCCTGGCCTCCATTGGGCATAAATGCTTTATATTTTATATTAATATTTTCAAAAACCCGTGAAACAGCGGGTCCGCATAAAGCAAACCACGAAGTAGTGAGGGAACACTGTATATGTATTCTGCAATCTGCTGAGTCCTCTCAGGGAGTTAGAGCAGAATATAAATGAAGTATATTATTATTATTATTATTATTATTATTATTATTATTATCATTATTATTATTATTACTACTCCTACTACTACTCCTACTACTATTACTACTACTACCACTACTCCTTAAATTGCAAACCGCAGGATTCTATAGGATTGAACTACGGTTGTTCAACTGAAATTAGTGTCATAATGGTGTAGTGTGGAAAGGGACCAGGAGGACCACAAACTGACTGCCATGACAACTGTATCTTCCTCTTCTTTCCTCCAATTCTGATGATCATGGTTTCTACTTGGCCTCTATTTCTTCCTTGAACACTACATTTTTCAATACTTTTTTACACTCATGACAATCGGTTCACTGTGAGAACAAGTGACAGGCAACGGGGACAAGCAAAGCAAGTTTTGATTTACACATCTGGAAATGCTGCCTTCAAATTAATCAGAAATGACAGCTACTCCACCCACTTAAGCTATATACTGACTCACAATAAGGTACCTCACTATGGTGAATGCTCCTACGTGACTTCACTGGAAATGCACTTCAGCTTAAGCTGGTGACCTACAGTTATAAGGTACAGCCCACTGCTACGGCTCTTCTCCAGAATGTGGTCTCTTGGTTCACAGCCTCTCACACAGGAGTTATTCTTGGACTTCCCTGTGGCTTTCAAATTCTTCTAAGGTGAACAATGCCAGGTTTAGGAGACACAGGGTGCATCTAAAAAGGTAAAGGTTTCCCCTTGACATTAAGCCTAGTCATGTCTGACTCTGGGGGATGGTGCTCATCTACATTTCTAAGCCGAAGAGCCGCTGTTGTCCGTAAACACCTTCAAGGTCATGTGGCTGGCATGACTGTATGGAACGCCATTACCTTCCCATAGAAGTAGTACCTATTGATCTTCACACATTCTGCTAGGTAGGCAGAAGCTGGGCCTAACAGTGGGAGCTCACCCTGCTCCCCAGATTCGAACCGAATCTTTCATCTACACTGTAAAATTAATGGAGTTTGACACCATTAATTGCCATGGCTCAAAGGTGTGGAATACTGGGACTGCTGCTTTTAGAAAGTCTTTAGTGTTCATTGTCAAAGAGTGCTGGTGTCTCACCAAACTAAAGAGTGCTGTTGTCTCACCAAACCCACCAAACTACAATTCCCATGGTTCCATATCACTGAGTCATGACAGTTAATGTAGTGTCAAACAACATCATTTCCACAGCATAGAGGCACCTTCAGAATTGTTTCTACATGTTCATTCAGGACTCAGCAGCTGCAGCAACAACATTGCATAAGACTGAGATTGGATCTATACTGCCATATATAGCAGAGTCTCACTTATCCAACCTTCACTCATCCAACTTTCCCTATTATCTAACCAGTCTGCCTCCAACCTGGATCCAAGGCTGTTCCAATACATTGCAATGTTTTGATGCTAAATTTGTAAATGCAGTAATTACTACATAACATTACCATGTACTGAACTGCTT